AGGATGTTTTGTCCCAGTAAGTGGACACTGTTTAATAAGACCCCTTCTGCAACAATGGGTTTGCACTCGCTGTGACAGAGCTCCATTTAACCAGGGCTGTGGAATTCTGGGGGATATCTGCACTGCCTCAACTCTGCTGGCCTCTGGAAAAAGCCATTCCTCAACAAACATAGCTTTGTAACTTTGGAGAGGCCTGGGTTTGGGCTCATTTTAATGGCACAGCTTTTATCCAGTAAGGACCTGACCTTCACCATGTAAATGAGAAACCTCTATTTGCTGCAAATGTTCTGATGTTCCACATCCCCTGTTCTGCTCCGAGAAACCTTATTTAAAGCCTTTAGTAAAAAGAAAAGGTATTTTGGGGCTAGACTAACTTTTGTTGGAGCCAGTGATGTCACCTCCTTCCAGATAAAGCCCAGGTTTGAAGCCCACCATGCTCATGATCACATGGCAGGTCAGGCACAACACCCAGTCACATCCAGGATCCTGATCCCTGCTGTGGGATGGGGAAAGGAAACAAGAGTCCCAACTCCCTTTGTGCCCTCTCAGAGCTTTGCCCCAGTATTTTCAACACCTCACCATTACAAAGTCCAAAAAGTATGAATATGGTGACACCACACTGATGTCACCGGAATGCTCCAGAAAAAGGTGAGCAAAAGGGGGAAATGAATCCAACCTGGAAATACTGGAATTGCACAAGGCAAGGAGAACACTGGGCCAAGCCAGGCTACAGAGGCACATCATGTGCTCTACTCAGAGCAGAAATAAATATGCCATTCTAAACATTTTTTGAGTTTATTTTCAGAAAAATCTAGAGCAAAGATGGAAATAGCAATCTGATTAAAATAAATATAAAAAGAAGTTAAGAGTGGCAGCAAATTATTTGGACAAAAGTTCAGAGAGGAAGAATATGGGCAAGATGTTCAACTGTGGGAAAATGCCTTTGGGAGGAGGAAGCCTTTTGTTCCACACCACCTCTGTGTCTAGGTTTTTACAGTCCTTTGCTAAGTTATTCTGCCAGTGGCTGGAAAACCACCAGAAATCCGCCTGTTTACTCAGACAACTAAAATCCCAAATACCCTGGCAAATGGCTCTCTGCTCTGCCTCATCAGCGACAGGATGGAAGGGATACTCTGAGCTGAGGTTTAAAAGTCTCAGTCAAGTGACAGCACAAGGTTAAGGGGTTATTCATACCCCTATTTTTGCATTCGGAGAGCAAGGGGAATTCTTGTTGTGCGACACACGGAGTCAAATCAGATGAGGAGCAGAAGTGCCAAATACTGTGCAAAAATCACCATTAGACACCTGAAATCCTGCTTCTGCTCAGACAAGAAAGAGCAAGTGTAAAATATTCCGAATATTTGAGACATTCTGAGACTTGCCTGGTTCACTGCAAGTTCAGTGGTCTTAGGAGGCCAAGTGACAGAGCAGTTTGGTGGTGAGCCCACTACACGCCACAGTGAGAGTCACAGGGTCTGTGACCAGGGAGTTTGCCACAAGTTGGCTCCTACTTCTGCAAAGTCCCCATCAGATCAAATCCCTGTCCTGAAAAAATCATGTTTTTCCTTATACAGCTTGTATTTGGAAATGACTAAATGGAGGGGGAAAATAAATTTAATTCAGTCCCTTCAACTATAGCACTGTCAGCTAACGAACTGCCCAAATGGAGTGTTTTAATACAGTTACACCTGCCATGGCTCAGACACCCCCTCCCAGATACTTCATGACTGCCTGTTCCCTTTTCCCCTTGCTGCAGCTGCAAAACAAAATCCCATTTATACTTTGCTCCTGATCACAGAAAAATCACTGATTATAGAGCACAAGACCTCCAGCTGAAGTTTTCAGGCTCTGCATCACATCCTCCCTTGAACAAATAAGTTCAAAGCACTCAAAAACGTAACCACAACCATCACTCTTTGCTACCAAGAACCCAACACAGACACACAGGGATCGAAGCCATCCAGTACTTGACTGGAACAAGTGAATCACAGCTCTGCAACCGAGGATCCGCAGCAGGATCCCGAGCCAATGTGACTCCAGAAAAGGTTTACTGAACCAGAAAAGCAGCAGCAGCAGTAATCCTGGTTGGGCGCCAAACACAAGGAAATAAACACAAGGGAGCCCTGGAAGATTTCACCAGCAGCCACACAAGTGGGGATGAACAAATCCTGAAGCACCACCTGAACTCTGGTCACTCAGCTCCAAAACAGCCCAGAAATCCGATGGCAGGAAGTTGGCATTTAACAGCCATCCACAGCAACTGAGTGTTTTCCTACTCTCTTCTGATGCATTCCAGGGCTTAAGTTGATTTTGGGTCCCGAGTTTCCCCATGACATTCTGAACAGACTGGCTCAGCCAAACCAGGAGGAACCACTGCAAACGCAGCACCAGGAGCAGAGCAGCAGCCAGGAGGCTCTGTGGGGGCAGATCTGCAGGGTCAGGCCTCCCACGGCCACCCCGGGGACAGGAGCAAGGGATCATTACCTAAATCAACTTCTCTCCACTAGTTTTGCAACGCAGAGGTAAAGCACACACATCAAACAGTTTAAGGGCATGTAAGAGGCGGGAAACAACTCCCTCAGATCAGAAATCAGGACCTTGTCTAAGAAATTAGTTCACAAAGAGCAGGCAGGTGAGTCCACCAGACGGGTCTGGAAAACGCACAAGCAGGAACACTCACAACTCCTCACTGGCAGCAACTTTTCCACCACTTTTCTTATGCAAAGATAATAAGGAATATGGCAAAACCTGTCCAATACAATCAGTATGGGCCATGACTTTCACAGTCTTAGTCATTAAACACAGACCCAACATTTTAATGGCTCTTTTAAAGTAAAAACCTGAAGTTCCCAACTGTTTTCATGTCTGCTTGCCAACTGCTCCTCTCCCTATACTAGGATCAATAACTGGGAGCAAAGAAACAACCCTGCTTAACCATGAGATCTTCTTTAACTGCAGGGTAATCAGCTAATCCGGGCAGACTCCTTTATTCAGCTTTACATGGGCAGCACTATCATTAAAGTTATAAACTTTAATTTGACTCAAGGAATGCCATTTACTAATTTAGTACGTAAATGCTTTTACAGTTGTTTGCATCCAGCTCCATATAAACTACAGGGGATTTACAGCACACGAAGCAACATTTTAAAGCTGCTGCTACAGCCACTGTAACACTGTAACAGAGCCCAGGACAGTGGGGGGAAAGCATTCACTGAGGGAATGCTTTTTCGTGTTTAAAGGGATTTACCAATACACACAACCAGCAAAACAACTGCTTTCTGGGCACTGAATCCCTCAATATTTAACATCCACAGATTTTTCACATTATTTCTGTTGGCATGTAGGAGAGTAGCATCTCCTATTTACTCTGAATATTGAGTAAATGGGAACAAAAGAAAACTCATCACCTGCAAAAAAGTCAACGGTATCAGGAACTTGAGGGTGAGCTGGAGCCAAACCTTGCCATGAGCATTTAGAAAGGAATGCCAGATTGCTTCAGTGCCTTGAATTTTTTCCCCAAAAGCTCGGGAGCCAACAGATAAGACTTAGATACTTTGATCGAAAGAGGGTAAATGTTATTTCGAACTCTAGTTCACTTTTAAAGAGACATGCTTAAAAACTGGGGGTAAAAAAAGTTATGGTTGTGAAGGGATTGCTCGTGTCCCTCCTGGTCTGTGCTGGAAATAAACACAAGGTTCAACTCCTGTGTGTAGCAAGGGGGAAGGGAAACGGCAACAAAACCAGAGCGAATGCCTCTCCTGGAATTCCAGGACTTGCCATCGACTCCGCCGCTTACCGAAGGAGCTGGAGGGGCTAAAGCCCCCGGACAGCGTGAGGATGGAGTGGGAGAAAGGCAAAAACACAGATCACAGCCCCCCCGCTCGCAATCACACAAAGAAAGAGGAGTCCTTTTAGTGCCAAGGGCCTCGTTCCCGACGCTTCCATGGCAGGAAGCGAGATCCTGGCCGGCCCCAGGGGCCTCTCGGGGGAACGGGGTGACGAGGAGCCTCCTCCGCCTCAGGAGGTGCCGGGGAATCCCCCCTCATCCAGGGGGAGATTGGGGAACGCCGCCTCCACCCCGGGGGGCACCGAGGAGCGCCCCCTCCACCCCCGGGGGGTGCCCAGGAGACCCCCCTCTCACCTCCGGGGGTGCCCAGGAAGCACCTTCACCCCAGGGGGTGACGAGAGGCCCTCTCATCACCCCGGGGGTGCAGAGGAGGAGACTCCCCTCCAACCCCAGGGGGGGACCGAGGAGCCCCCCTCTCACCGGGTGTCCCTCGGAGTGTGTGTGGGTCCCTGTTCCGCGGGCGGGCCGGGCCCGGTGCCCTCAGAGGCCGTTGGCCCGTCCCGCCGCCCCCCCACCCCTTCGGCGGTGTGTCCCCCCCCAGTCCCGGCGCCGGGGGCCGCACCTGGATGACCTCGTTGACCTCGCGGATGCACTCCACCATGTGCTGCAGGATCTGCTCGGCCGTCAGCACCTCGTAGCGATAATCCTCCTCCTGCTCGGGGCCGCCGCCGGGGCCCGGCCCGCCGCCCAGGCCGCCACCGCCGCCGCCGCTGCCGGGGCCCAGCCCGCCCGTCTCACCGCCCAACAGCCCGTCGCGCTCCCCGCCGACGCGCAGCCCGGGCTCCACCAGCTCCACCTCGCCCAGGTCTAGGTTATCGTCGGGCTCGTCCTCCTCCTCGTCCTCCTCGTCCTCCTCCGCGCCGCTGTCCTCACTACACTCCTCGTCCTCGTCGAACTCGTAGTTGTACCCCTCGTCTGAGTCCATGGCGAGGCGCTGAGGGAGCGGCGGCGGCTCCCGCGGCCTCCCCGCGCCCGGCCCCGCCGCCGCCGCCGTTGGCCCCGGCCCGGCCCGGACCCGCCGCGCCTCAACCGCCGCCAACAAAGGGCCGCGGCCGCCGCGCTCCGTCACCGCGCGCCCCGCGCGTCACCGCCGCCCGCCCGCGCCTGCGCGCCTGCCGCCATCTCACCCCGCCCGCCGCCGCCGCCACCATCTTGGGGGCGCGACACGCCCCCTCCGCGCCCCCCGCCCGCCTCAGCCCGCTGCAGCCATGTTGAGTGTGGCGCGGCGCCATGCTGGGTGCGGCGGCGGGGAGGCACAGAGTCATAGCATCACATCCTGAGGTGTCCTGTGGGGCCAAGTGTGGAGAAGGCTCCTGGGGCCACCATAAAATTGAGTGGTGTGAGGTCTGTGGCAAGCAACTTGTGAGGGGAATGTGAGGGAAATCTGAGGGGAATGTGAGGGGAACATGAGGAACCTGTGAGGGGAACGTGAGGAACCTGTGAGGGGAATATGAGGGACACACGAGGGAAAACAGGTTGCACTGCCTCAAATTCAGAATAAAATTGCACTAAGATGTCCAGGCAGAAATTCTCAATCATTCCATGAGATAAACACATGCCCACGACCTGTGGAGGGACCCTGATTGTGCTGGGTGGCATCTCTGAGCTCCAGCATTGCTTTCTGGTCAGCAAAGATGGTAATACCCAGGTTTTCAGTGATGCCAGGCTTGATTCCCTTTATTCTCTGTTAATTTGATATTTTGCAGGGGGAAGAAAATGCATGAGTGTCTTCATCATCAGACCAGGGACTAACTTTTTTCCCTCCTGGCACTGAGAAGTGCCCCAGGGATGCAGGGCCAGTACTGTTCCCAGGTGGTCTCATCCCTGCCAGAGCCTCTCACTTGGACGTGGAGCTGCTGGCAAAGGGCAGGATGACACCAGGGTGCTGCAGAGGCTGAGCCCTTTCCCTCAGCTTTCCCCGCTTCCAGCACCAGCTGCGCTCAGCCTGGTATGGGGGAGGCTCGCCGGGCTCATTGTCTGCAGCCATTTGGGGAGTGCACGGAACTCCGGTTGGCTTGGAAACAAGGCTGCAGCCCGGCCCAGAGCAGAGCCAGCTGCTACCAACCCTCCACTGATGTTCACTGTGGATGCCAGAGGCCGGCACAGCGCCAGGAGGGCTTCAGGGCCACCTTCTCCCGCCAGTGCTCACCCTCCACTTCCTCAAGCCCCGGGGAATCATTTCTCCCCAGGGTGAAGTGGGGCCGTTCAGATGTGGTGACATTATTCACCCGCTCTGCCTGGATGAAGATGAGACTCAGCGGGGCTCTATGTGGTGTAGGCGTGACAAATTTCATCAGCTGTTTAGGACAAGAGTCATCACAGATGACTGGATTACAGAATCCTGCTTCCTGCTCCTGTCTTGATACAAATCCCTTGTGAAACAGGAAGAAAATTAAAAGCCACATCCCAAAGAATGTTTATTTCCTGCTGGAGCACAGGAAGCATAATGATGGCTGCAGCAACAGGGATTTGTGATCAGGGTGATGCAGGCAGGTGCTCTTGGGAGATGAAGTGTCCAATGTCCTGGGTAGATGACTCTAGAAACCTCACCAGGTACCAGGCTGCATCTTCAGACACACAAAGAGATCCGAATGTTTATGTGGATCTGTGGTCCCTGAGCTCTGCCCGGGTCAGGAGCACACAGGGACATGCTGCCTCATGCCACGCTACCTAGTCAATAAAGCCAGTTCCCTAATTACCCTACTTATTTGGAATTGCAAAGGCCGGGGCATTAGTCATCCTGCCCTACATAAATCTAAGTATCCCCGGCTTCGTTCAGCTCCAGACGCACCAGCTGGACATCTGCCAGGCTGGTCCCACCTCACACGTCAAGCCACGGGGGCTCAGGTGGCTGCCCCAGGTCCTTTCCTTCCCTGGGCTTTGCCCCCGAGGGGGGCTGTGTGTCACCCTCCGGGACCCTGTGCTAGCACTGTCCTGCTCGGCTGGTGACATGCCCCGCTCCTGGCCAACATGGCAAAAGGCACAAGCCACTTTGGCTGCTCGTCTGCCCCTTGGGACCCCAAGAAAGGCACTGACCAGATAGTGGGGTTTGGCTTTATCGGAGTTTTGCAGCTCTGGACACCAAAATCCTCGGCCGAGGTGACCTCCCCAGCAGTGTGCGTGGGAAGCAGTTGCTCCTGGAAGCGGGGCCCGTCCATCCCCGGGTGTCCCGAGGACTCCCCGCCGCCCTCTCCTGGCCTCGGCCGAGGCTGCAGAGCTCAGCCCGGGGCCCTGGGTGGAGCTCGGCCAGAGGAGCTGCTCTGGAGCCAGGCTGGGAGAGCCGGAGGTGTTCAGCCTGGAGAAGAAAAGGTTCCAGGCAGACCTGAGAGCCCCTTCCAGTCCCTAAAGGGGCTCCAGGAGAGCTGGAGAGGGACTTGGGACAAGGGCCTGGAGGGACAGACCAAGGGGGAATGGCTTCCCACTGTTGGAGGGCAGGGTTAGATGGGATACTGGGAAGGAATTCTTCCCTGTGAGAGTGGGGAGGCTCTGGCCCAGGTTGCCCAGTGGCTGCCCCATCCCTGGAAGTGTTCAAGGCCAGGTTGGATGGGGCTTGGAGCAACCTGATCTAGTGCCCCCATGGCAGAGGGTGGAACTGGCTGGGTTTTAAGGTCCCTTCCAACCCAAACTATTCTGTGATTCTATAATGGTTCTATGATCCCAGTAATTAACATTTATAAATAGTGATGGGATCTTCCCAATGATATCCCACAGACACAGACAACCAGTTCCCCTACTACAGTCCCAGCCTTCTCTTTTCCAGCTGCAAAACAGGGATCAGCACTTTGCAGCAATAGCTACACTAATACTTTTCAAAAATACTCTTTGGTATGAAATTTTAGTCGCAAATGTTGCAAAAGGTCTTTGTTTATTAAAAAGTTTTCAACCCGGGAGAAAGGAAATCCAAGAGCTTTCTCAATGTCTTGGATTTGATTTTGGGTGTCTGCACACTCATTAACAACAATCACATATGGGGCCCTGGGCAGTAGTTCCTTGTAGATGGTTGGCAAAAGGTACCTGAGAAAAGCAGGGCTGCTGCCTTCAGCTTATTCCGAGGGGATCTGCACTGCCTCTGGGGATTTTAGGGCTCCAGCTACCGAGGAAAGCTGAGAACCATTCCTCTGCCCACTCTGAGAAATGATTTAGATCTCCATAGACACCTGGCGCGTTTTCATTTTATTCTTGCAAGAGCTTAATTACCCAAGTGATTCTGGTAACTGTTAACACTGAAGCTGACAAGAATAAAATATTGCCTTGCAATCACCTTGCTCTGTGAAGTTAGGCACACGCTTACGGGATTTATGGGAGCAGCGCCTCTGGGCACGAGGAGTTTGTCACCGTGCACCCACAGGCTCTGATTGCTTCCAGTTCAGCCCCACAGCCCTGACTGGGAGCAGCCGGGGACAGCAGCCACATGTTCCCAGCCTCCGCAAGAAGTCGCAGCATCTCCCTGTGACAAGCCCTGACTCGTGATACCAAAATTCTGCAAAAGTGCTGGTGCCCCACACCACAATCCACCCACGGATTCGGGGTGAACCTCCTATCCCACCCAGCATCCCCCCTGCCCCACTGCTCCTTGAGCCAGGTGGGATCTTCAGGAAAAGCCGCTCTCCTTCGTCACCAGAGACATGTGGACAGGGAGAAAAAAAATCCAGGAGCTTTCTCAATGTCTTAGACTTGATTTTGGGTGTCTGCACACTCATTAACAACCTCAACCAGTAGCGTGGGCTGAGCTGCCCCTTGGCTCACCACCCTAAAGCTGTGCGAGCTGGAGATAATCCAGAGGAAAAAAGGCTCGGCGAATAAATACCAATAATGCAAACACCACTAGGCTGAGCTCAAGTCAGGACCCCAAATCCTCCACACTGATTAACACATCTCACCTCAAGCTTTTTGCCTTAAACTCCACACTCAAGCTCATGATTGTTGAAATATACTTCTCGTTGCTCCTCCCTGCTCACTCCAAGTCTCTTAGGCCCTGCTCCCCTTACGTGTGCTCTCCCAGGCAAAGAGGTCCCTTCTGTTCAGCCCCATCTGTGCTGAGAAACTCAGTCACCACGTGCATCTGCTAAACCATTCGATGGCAGCATCGATACGCAGTGGTCAAGGTGGGAATGTAGGGACATGGAAACGAGTCATCCTGTGCTTTGAAAAGCTCCAGGATGTGTGCTTGTGTCTCCAAAAGCAGCCTGCCGTACATGGGCCTGCTTCAGCCCCCCAGAGCATGGAGGTTCCTCAGAGGCTGAGCTGCTAGAGCTGCTGAAAGTACCCTGGGTGTGGATTTAAGGGCATCTCATGTTTAGGATCTTTGTTGTGCACATGCTAAAGCTCCACCAAATGTCTCTGTGGGCTCTTGCTGGGTGTTTACATGTGAGCACCACTCTGCTTGATGAAACAGGCACAGGTGGCTCCCTGTCAGCATCTGTGTGACACCAAGCCAAGCAAAATCATCCCTGAAATACAGAGATGTGCAAAAACCCAGCACATGCTGACCATACTCCCACCAGACCACCACCACACTTCAACCAAGGACACTTCAACCCTGCCACCCTTGGGGCTGCAATCCAAATCCCATCATTATTTTACCGAGGATGAAAGGGAAGTTAAACAAGAAAATGGAGAGAGTCAGCTTGCCCAGAAAGCCTCTGAGATGTCAAGGTTCAAGTCGCAGGTCTACAGGCAGATGCAGGTATTTCCAAGAGATGATCTGTGTTTTCCAAAGCCCTCTTCCAGCCACACCACCAGGAGGTCCCTTGAGCTGGGAGTTGCTTCATTCAGGAGTGAGTGTGCCTAGACAGTGCTGACTCAAAGAGCGGAGCAAACAGAAAACTCATGCCCTGTGAAGGTGTTCATGAATGGCTTCCTCTGTTCCTCACTCTCCAGCTCAAATCCTTCTCAGCAGCACAGGAATCTGCGTGCAAAATTCCCTCCTGGTTAAATGCAGAAGCAGCCAACATTATAGAGAATTAGGCAGCATAATAAATGGATTTATATCTTTTAAAAATGCTGTGAAACAAGGAACTGCACCAGAGCCCAAAGACCACCTTCATGCCTCGAAGGTGAACAAACCAAAAAGACCAAGTGTGACACCAGCCAGATTTTGTAACAATTTATATCAGAATAATTAATTTGGATTTCTACCAAATTAATTGTTGGTAGAAAGCAGGTAACTCAGCAGTGTCCTGGTGCAGCACAGTTTTCTGCAGAGTTCCCCAGCAACTTGTCTTCTGGCTCCTGCAGCCAAAGAGACAAGAGGGGTTTGCAGGTACCCCACCACGGGTCTCACTCGAGCTGGTGCATCCCTGCTATGGGCTTACTCCCTGCTTCTTCCTTGCCAAACTAAGCTGGAAGAATCTTCCAGGTGGATATATCAACATGGAGATATGCTCTGAGACCAAGAGCCTGTTTATTGAAAAGCTATTGAAGAACATCAGCAACTTCTAGCTGCTGCTGCTCTGTGCCTGTCACAGAACAGTGTGTAATCCAGTTCCTTCTAGCCAAGCTCCACAGTTAAACACATGCTGAAGCAGTTTTCTTATGTAAAGAAACATTCCCAAATCAGACTGCTAGTCTGGATTAATGTCGGCCAGCTACAGATGAACTACAATGAGTCATCCCCCAGAGACATCAGGTCCCCTAAAATAGCAACAGCAACCGAATGCGTAGAAAGGCTGGAATATTTGGACTGAAGGCTCTGATCACAATGCTTTACATAAGCTGGCAAACGCACCACCCTTCCCAGGCTGAAAGGAGGATTCACCTCAGGCCAGGGCACTTCCACAGTTCCGTCTCACACGCTGGGAAGTGTGGCCGAGACATTCCCTGATGCCACACAGCAGCAAACTGGATTGTTTGGGATTTTTTTTTAATACAATGAAACTATTTAAGGACGAGTCCAGAGATGCTGGAATCAATCAATATAGTCAGAAAAGCGGTGGAATCAGCCGGTGCTTCAGAGGTTTGCACGGGGAAAGGCAACAGACCTGGCTCAGGACCACAGAGGCTTTGTGTCGACCAGCAGCAGGAAGACTTGAACACAAGGAATGACACGGGCCATTTTCCCGGAGGTCTGGCACAGGCTGGAATGCAGGTGTTCTCCTCCATACCCCTTCTTGCTGTGTGAGGAGGACGGAGATAGAGAAGGGACAACATCCTGGAAGAATCATGAGGAGACAGCCTGGGATGTGCCTTTGTGTTGAATTGGGGTCCTGCCACCTCTCTGTAGGGAAGACAAGGGGGAGGTGAGGATTGTCAGGAGCCTGAGGGAGCCAAGAGGCCTTAGTTGCCCCAATCAACCTCCCCTGGGACTTCCACCCACGACCTCCATTTAAGCTGAGGTCCAGGCAATTAATTTTTCCTGAGCTCTCCTGTGGGTGTACCTACTCTAGGTATTCCCAGACTGATCTTGCACTTCACTTGGTGTCTTTTGTTCACTTGGTGACACCTGGGCTGTTGGTGCCACCCCTGTGCTCTTCCTGCCTGGCTGTGGGGGGTACACCCACCTTTTAAGGCTGTTCCCTGGCCTATACTGTGCCTGTCTTTGGTTCCTGGCCCACGTTCCCTGAGGTAGACAGGTGATCTTTGCTGTTCTACAGGGCTGGAGAAGAAGGATGCAGTTCTGTGTAGGTGTTAAGCTCATGGCAACACCATCTGGCTCTCTTTGGCCCCATTTCTGATGGAGCCCAGTTTCTCTATCTCAAG